TGTGTCTTTTTTTTTTTTTTTATTGTGGTGACATTGGTTAATGAAATCCAGTAAGTTTCAGGTGTACAAATCAACAGAAAGTAATATATATATATATATTGCATTGTGTATTCACTGCTCATAGTTAGATTTCTTTCTGTACAAATATATCTTGACTGAAAAATAAAGAAAATACCAAATATCAAAATATGACACATTCGGGATGATTACTATTTTCCAAAATTTTTTTTTTACCTGAAAGCTGCTTTAAAAAAAAATCTTCCTCAGCTAAAAGTCATTCTATAATCATAGAATGACTTCTAAATGGTTCAAGATTATTAGACTACTAAAATGAATACACACATACGGATCTCTGGAAGTGAGCTTTAATGTCCCTCATGTCAAAAGGAGTATCTGAAAGCCACCCAGAGCAACAGTCAAGGATGTTTCTCTATTTTGGATGTATTATACCCCAAGGTTTTAAATTTCTATGCCAAATACAAAGTGCATTTTGTTCTGAAATTTAGTATTTCAATTTAACTTAATCTAATAATCAAGTAATACACTGATCATCATCAAAGAAGCACAAAAGAGAGTCTAAGATATTTATATACGTAGACTTAGCATCATGACAGCTTAGAATTGAGGTGAATTATAAATTCTGAAATCACATTTGAAAAAGAAAATCAATGAATGAGAGACTATCCAGAAGATAAATGACTTTTTGTTCTTAGAAACAACAGATGAGAAATTTGTGATGTTAAAAAATTAATGTAAAGGTAATGCATGATAGTAGTCATCAAATATTTGAAGAATTTTCATGTTAAAAGGGGGAAGAATGATGAAAGAAAATTTTAGGACTAAGTTTCATTCATTTGTATTGTAATTTTCAATTCTTATGGTATAACTGATTAACATCATGAAAAATAATTAGGCAGTATTTTACCTGTAATATAAATGGAGATCAGTAAGCAATGCTTTTTTTTTTAACAATAATTCAATATAATAATATCCTTAGTCCCAAAATCCAAGATCTAACTTCCAGTAAAAAATTAATTTTTTCGAGTTTGGTTTTATTTTTCTCCCCAACAGAAAATTAACACAGTCCACACATTCCAAACATCATTCCTTCATGGTCAAGGCAGGTGTAGTTTTCTCTTTTTATTTTCCCAATGATGAAACAATCAAAGGCAGGATTTGTTGAATGTATAATTCTTTAGAATAAGCATATACTATCCAAATATGTGGATTTTATAAGCAGTTAAGATTCTCTATGATCTCTGCATCAAAAATGCTGGAAGTGAACATTTTATTGTTCTTTTCATTGATTTTTGTCCTACTGCCTTCACAATAACAACAACAACAAAATGAAAATGGAATCCCTTATATCTCCAAATTAGTACCAGAGTATTTGGTATTATTGAATTCTTATTGAAAACTAATGGAGGCTTCTTTCTTTGGTCTCCCAGAAGTGGGATATTTGGAAATGTTTATGAAAAGAGGTGAATGTTTTCATGTTTTATTGTTTTCTTTTTAAAGTAATGACTTCAGTTATACTCTGTAATGTTTTTGACAGACAATAAAGATTATGATGCATACTTATCATACACCAAAGTGGATCCTGACCAGTGGAATCAAGAGACTGGGGAAGAAGAACGCTTTGCTCTTGAAATCCTACCTGATATGCTTGAAAAGCACTATGGATATAAGTTGTTTATACCAGATAGAGATTTAATTCCAACTGGAAGTAAGTTAATGTTTTCAATTGAGAATGTGCATATTTTTGATGTCTATCTGTGTAGTCATCATTTTTAGACAGAGTTTTAACTTACATTTTATACTTTGAAAATTGTATCTGTCAGATTCTCAAGAAAAAAAATGTCATTATTTGTTCATAGAAACTAAATTTTTGATACCTCAGAGGAGCTACTTCCATTATTTTATAGAGTATCTCATTTTATAAGCCTTGACATTTAAAGAAACCAAATAAGAGATTTATATACCTGGAAAAAATATTTCTAATGTTAAAAGAAGCAAAGCCCATAATCTATTCAAAGTGATCATTGGCTATTTTCATCTTAAGATGTTACTCAACACCAATTCTCATTTAATGTATGAAAGAATCTACCAGGGCTTTTTGGAACACATGTTCAATGTACTCATTCTGATAAATCCTTTTCTCTTTCGTAGCATACATTGAAGATGTAGCAAGGTGTGTAGATCAAAGCAAGCGGCTGATTATTGTCATGACCCCAAATTACGTAGTCAGAAGGGGCTGGAGTATCTTTGAACTGGAGACCAGACTTCGAAACATGCTTGTGACTGGAGAAATTAAAGTGATACTAATTGAATGCAGTGAACTACGAGGAATTATGAACTACCAGGAGGTGGAGGCCCTCAAGCACACCATTAAGCTCCTGACGGTTATTAAGTGGCATGGACCAAAATGCAACAAGTTGAACTCTAAATTCTGGAAACGTTTACAATATGAAATGCCTTTTAAGAGGATAGAACCCATTACACACGAGCAGGCTTTAGATGTTAGTGAGCAGGGGCCTTTCGGGGAGCTGCAGACTGTCTCGGCTATTTCCATGGCTGCAGCCACCTCCACAGCTCTAGCCACTGCCCATCCAGATCTCCGTTCCACCTTTCACAATACGTACCATTCACAAATGCGTCAGAAACACTACTACCGAAGCTATGAGTATGACGTACCTCCTACCGGCACCCTGCCTCTTACCTCCATAGGAAATCAGCATACCTATTGTAACATCCCTATGACACTCATCAACGGGCAGCGGCCACAGACAAAATCGAGCAGGGAGCAGAATCCAGATGAGGCCCACACAAACAGTGCCATCCTGCCGCTGTTGCCAAGGGAGACCAGTATATCCAGTGTGATTTGGTGACAGAAAAACAAGGGACACCCCGTCCCTGGGAGCTTGAGTAGAGTCTGCAGTCCAGTGCCTGGAACTAAATCCTCGACTGCTGCTGTTAAAAACATGCATTACAATCTCTAGAACACGAGGAAAAACAGGGTCTTGTACATATGTTTTTTGCAATTTCTTTGTAGCATCAGTGTTCCTGTTTTACCATGTCTCTTATCCATCACATTTTTTGACTTTGTTTTATATGTCATTGGAATTTGTAAATTTACATTTTTTTAAAGAAGAAACTTATATATAGATAGAATACCCTTTTTTGCTTCATTAGTTTAGTTTTAGAATGGGTTTTATTTCCTTTTCTTGATTTTATTTTGCTTTTAACATTCCCTTGGGGTGCTTGGACAAATCTATCCACTGGGACAAGGAGCACCGGATCCTCTCTTGGGTTCTGCCTAGGATCAGCAGGGCCATGTAGGCCTTCAGAGAGCAGTGCAACGAATGCCAGCATTGCCAGTTGGGGAAAAAAAAAGATAAAAAGAACACTTGTTCATAGGAGGGCCCCGCCAATCAGAGCCCTGAATCTCTTCCTTGTCCTGCCTCATTCCCTACCTCTACCCTTCTAATGGCGGCATGATGTGTAAACTCTGAGGAGGGGTGGTGGTGAGTCTAACTGTCTTAACATTTAATTCACTGCTCATCAGAATACACTCCAGACCCAAAAGTGTGCTAGTAGTGACTACTACAGTGTGCTAAGAAGAAAAGATCAAGGGCATGAAAATGGGGGAGAGAGTGTTTTTTTCCATTTTTTAAATGAGTTAAT